AGTTATTAAATTATCTTTATAATCTAATTTAAATCACTGATAATTCTTTAATATAATTATATTAAAGAATCACTAATAATTATTTCCTTAAATTTCCTAAACAAAATATTAATAAAATTTATTTTTAATATAATTTTATATAGGCGGCAATCAAAATTATCCAACCACTTTTCAAATTGAAAAAATGTTATATGTTAAATATAATAAAAATTAAATTTTATGATAAATGTTTTTATTTATGACTTAGTTTATTAATTTATAAAAAAATTTAATAATGAATTCTATTTTCATTTGCGAAAATAACCGCCTCAATCTTTTGAGGCATACTATCAATTAATTTTTTAAAATCTTCTAAAGGAATATTATTTATGCATTTTTGACATACTTTCCTAAAACTTTAATATTAGATAGTGATGCAGTACGTCAACGAACTATTATTTTTATCGCTGTTGAAAAGTTCTTGATCAGATTAAGATCGGGACTTTGGGCTAGCTAATCAAGCATCAAGCAATTGTATAACTTGAGTGTTTGTAATTATAACCATACATAATTACACCACGTATTTTTAAGGTAAGTGACTTTATTTTTTAGAAGATTCTAGAAAAAAATGAAGTTAGGAATATGTTTATCAGAACTATAAGTACAAAATCACGTATTATTTACATTACATTAACGCATAATGATCTGCATAATTTTAGCAAAATAAACTGGCCAGATAATTTTGATCGCCGCCTGTATATACAGTTTTTATTTTATAATTTTATTATATTTTATATTAAAATATAAGTATTTATTTATTATTAAAGAAAAATTTCTAAAATAATATTATTTTAAAATAATAAGTTAATAATATATAAGAGAAATCTATTTCTATTTATATAAAATTAATATTAATTAATTCTCTTATTTTTAAATATTCTTTTCTTTTTATAATTTTTATTATTTTTAATATTTCTTTTCTATAATTTTTATAACTTTTATTATTTTCTATTGTTTTTTAATATTTTTTTTCAGTAATTTTTATGACTTTTATTAATTTGTATTATTTGTATTATTTTTTTATGAATTTTAATTAATTTTTATTTATACTATTTGGTAATATATTATTCTTTTCTTTTAATAGATAGTTTATTCATATTTTGTAATTTATCTTTTTAATTTTAATAAATAATTTATCTGTATTTTATAATTTTATCTATTTAACTTTTAGTAAATAGTTTATTTGTATTCTGTAATTTGTTCTTTCTTAAGTTATATGTTTTCAATTAATAATTTATTTTTTATTATCAACATTCCTAATTATATTTAAATATTTTATAAAAATAAAAAGTAAAAAATAATTTTTTTTGCTATAATTTTATTATACAAATAAATAAATAGACAAATATATAATAAATAAGTAATTACATAATATTAATAACAATTATTAGTAATAATTCTAAACCTTTTTTATAAGTAATGGTTTTCTATAAAAAAAAATACAAATACTAGAAAAATATTTGCATTTATTATATTTTTATAAAATTATCATAAAAAAATAAAATTTTATGTAATATAATAAAATTAATTGATTAGCAAACTGATTATATAATATAACTTACAATTCATTATTAAAAAAAATTACATCTATTATAATATAATTCAATATTATATCAAAAAATCTATAATAGAATTTATAACTGTAATTGTTAAAATCATAATTAATTTGCAGAAAATAAGAATTTAACTAAGAATTTATATTATCAACCTTTAATTGATAGTAAAATTTCTTTTTATTATATATAATTTAAGTATTTTATTTATAATTTGTTTTGAATTAATAAATTTATTTTAGATTTCAAACTGCAACCTTTATCTTTCAATATTTTTAATATTTAATTTCTTTTGATTTTTTTAATATTTAGATTCTTTAAAATTCGATTTTATTCAAATAAAATTTCTTGAAAATATGGGTTCTTTGCAATAGAAAGGGAGGAAACTACCAAAAAAATTTTTTTTAAGTTAATGTTAAATTTGAACTTATTTTATTAAAAAAATAATATTTAGCTTATAAAGCAAAAAAAAATTTTTTAGTAGTTTCCTCCCTTTCTATTGCAAAGAGCCCATATATTCATAAACTTTATTTAATGAAGCATAATTTGACTGACTTTATTTTTTATTTAAAAAATTATACTGTTCAGAATACTCAGATTATATATAACATTAAATAAATTATTTATTTTCTTTCAGTTTATTGAGTTATAAAAGGTAAAGAAGAATTAAAGAGGTATTTATATTATTTTTTATACTAGTTATCAATTCTAATACTAAATTCTAATAGTAATTACTAGTGTATCCTCTCTTTACAATTTTTTACATTTTCTCTTCTAGTAATATCTTACAACTAATATTATCTTCTAACTATAATAATAATCCTTCTTTTGTTTCACTTAGGGATGTTAAGCGATCCTTACGATTTAAGTGATTACTATCTAGAAAAATAAAATGTTCATAATTAATTTGTAAAAACGATAATGATATTCAAGTATAGGATCGGTCCTAGGGACCCGATCCCAGATCCTAAAATTTTAAATTTTAAGAATCCAATTATTTATTTTCATTAAGTAGTTCATTAAAACATTATAATAGACAAGTTTAATGATAAATTTGTAAAAAGTAATTTTTCTTGGCTTAACTATGTGTTCTCTCCTTATAGGTGTATAAAATGTTAGATCGACATGATGATCGATTTAAACTAATTGGCTTATTGATTTTAGTACCAGGGTATTAATTAAAAGTTTTACCTTTTATATCCGCAGCCAATCATTATAAACTGTTTACTGTTTAAACTGTTTAAATATTTAAGAATAAATGAATACGAATAAATTGTAATAAAAAAAAAATATCGTTTTTTTAGTTCAATTAATAATAATGAAAACATCAATTTTATCCATATTTTTATTAATACTTGTCGTCAACACTTTTGTGAGCGCAAGCAATGTTTTAGAGTTGACGACAGATAATTTTGACAAGATAGTTGGTAAAGATAAATTCGTACTTGTAGAGTTTTTTGCTCCATGGTGTGGCCATTGCAAGAATTTGGCTCCTGTAAGTCAAATAAATATATATCTCCTTCTAATTTTATTAAATCAATAATTTAAAATTTTTTAATTTTCAGATTTATGAACAACTAGCCGATTCATTTACAGCTGCCAAAGATCGAGTAATTATCGCAAAAGTTGATGCAGGTAAATATAATATGTTGTCGATATTATAATGGATTTCCTGTTTCAATGCTAATTATCATGTTATCTACTTAGATAATTACAAAGATTTAGGAAGTCGTTTTGGAATTACAGGGTTCCCTACTTTGAAATGGTTTGACAAAAATGTAATAGATAAACCCGAAGATTATAGTAAAGGACGCGATTTGAGCAGTTTAACTTCTTTCGTTGAAGAGAAAAGCGGTAATCGTTCGATCCTTATTTTATAGATTATATGAATCACTAGACTATTTGATAATTTATCTTTGTTATTAGGTGTGAAAGCTAAAAAAGCTGTAACAGCGGTTACTGAACTTACTTCTCAAACCTTTGTTGAAATTGCTTTAAGTCCTGAGAAAAATGCATTGGTATCTTTATCAAGTTATAAGATTTTTGATTCACATGGTGACTATAAGACTTTAACTTTTATTTTTATTTAAGGTCGAATTTTATGCACCTTGGTGTGGACATTGCAAAAATCTCGGTAAGAAATAAAAAGATAAATAATAATGGATTATTTAATTGTCAATTATGATCTAATAAGGTTCGCATTGAAAGCTCCAATTTACGAAAGCGTTGCGAAAGATTATGCTCAAGAATCCAATGTATGTATTCATTTAAATAAGAGCCTTAACTGGTATTCATCATCATTGACCTATATTTAACCCATTTCATTAGTGTGTTGTTGCCAATGTTGATGCTACAGAACATAAAGACATTGCTGAAAAATATGGAGTCACTGGGTATCCGACAATTAAATTTTTTCCAAAAGGAGAAGATAAGACGCCAATTGATTATCAAGGTGGAAGGACAGAACAAGATTTTATTGATTTTTTGAATGAACACTGCGGAACACATCGTATCGTTGGTGGAAGCTTATCTGAGGAGGTATGGAAACTTGTCTATAAAATCTTTATTATTATCTTGTCTAATTTGGTTTATTATATCTATATAGGCTGGTAGAATACCTGAATTAGACGCGTTCGCAATAAAATTTACAAATGCCGCCACATTGACAGATGTTGATTTGGTTATTTCAGAAGCCAAAGTTGTTGCTGACAAGTCGGACAATAAGTTTGTATAATAATGATTATTTTTTTTTTCTGTTATAAGAGAGTACTATTTACTAATAATACTAATAAAATTTTTTAGGTTTGCCCAATATTATGTTAAAATCATGGATAAGATTAAAAACAAGAAAGATTATATTGATAATGAAATTGCTAGATTAGAAAAAATTATTAAATCTGGTACAATTTCAGCTAGCAAAATTGATGATTTCACAATCAGAAAAAATATTTTGGCAATTTTCCATAAAGATAAAGTAATAACCCCCCATCAAGAATTGTAGATCTTGATACAAAATTATAAATCGTGCGCATAATGTATTTCGAATAAAAAATTTTTTGTGTCACAGAAGTGTTGCACAGTGATTACATTTTTTGACCAATAATTGTAAATTGTTCGACGAATATTTTCATACTGGTTCAACCTGAAATAATTTTTTTTTTCAAAATTAGATCTTGCCTTTAAAAGTGTGGAATGCTTTTATTTTAATATAATTTGTGTATAAAATAAAATTTTCTATACTTCATATTGAATTAAACCTTTTATTTAATGTTAAATTTGCACTTAATACTACTACTATTTTTTTTAGATCTATTTCTCTTAACATAGCGATAGTGATCAGGGGAATAGAAATCTTAATAATAACATTCAATGGAAACTTTTTTATGGCTGTTTCTTCTTTCGTTAACAATGTTTATTGGTTCTTTCCTAGCGGGAAGTATTCCATTAGCATTTCACCTCTCCGAAGATAGGTTGCGAACGATATCAGCATTTGGAGTTGGCCTTTTAGTTGGAACATCATTAATTGTAATTATTCCCGAGGGAATTGAAACTCTATATAGCGTGTCTGGTTCAATCAATCTTAATTCGTCACCAATAACACCAACAATAAAAGATAATATCCTTGAACAACGTAATATGTGGAATAATGTAGAATTGCAAAGAAAAGGTCCCAATAATTATGATGATAATCTTGAAAATTTTCTTCAAAAACGAACGTTGAAAGTTGAAGACAGACCCAACGATTATAATAAACGTCAAGAAATGGATCCACTACCGAATTCACCTGACCAACCACCTAATGATGATCCTCCTACAAAATCTCCAGAGAATCAACCAGACGAACATGATCATGGAAAAGAAAATGCAAATCATCATTATATTGGATTTGCGTTAGTATCTGGTTTTGCAATGATGTTTGTGATTGATCAAATAGATTCATCTCATGGTCATACTCATACACGTGGAAACGTTGTGAGTCTAACAGAACTTCGTTCTTTGGCTAATTCTAGTGATCGTGATGTTGAGGATCATGAAATGTTGGGTGGTTCTTCTTCAATACATAAGAAACCAGCATCAGCCACGATTGGACTTGTAATACATGCAGCAGCGGATGGAATTGCTCTTGGTGCTTCCGCAAGTCAACCGGCACTTGAAATCATAGTTTTTTTAGCTATCATGTTACATAAAGCTCCAGCTGCTTTCGGACTTTCAACAATATTACTTCGTGAATCATATACTCGTCGTCAAATTCGTAAACATTTGCTCACTTTCTCATTAGCTGCACCTTTAGCCGCAGTATTTACTTATTCTTTACTTCAAAGAAGTGGTGAAATGAATCCAAATATAATGAAATGGTGGACCGCAATGTTGTTACTCTTTTCTGGGGGAACTTTTTTGTATGTTGCAATGCATGTCATGCAAGATGTTACCAATGGAAACGGTAAAGACAATGGCTTTAATGGTCACCATCTTAAGATAAAAAAATCTCACGTTGCATTCATGCTTTTGGGAATGTTCTTGCCATTGCTTTTGCAATTTGAACATGGACATGGTCATTGAAAATACAGAAAAATTATCTATTTAAAACCTTCTTCTATTAATAAACATTCCATAATTTTGTATATACTATTTAGACTGCTTTGGAATCTTCTTCAACGTGTAGTACTCTGTTCATGATAGTGAACTATTCGCACTAATATATTATATATATTTTATATTTCGCGATCTTATAATTATTTTAAAAAAATAGTTTGTAGTTTTTATACAAAATAATATCATTAAATAATTTTTGTGTATATTGAAGAAAAGGACAAGAAAAAAAAAGTTCATATATATTTCACAAATCTCGTGTTCATTAATTATTACATGAGTATAGTTTTGCCCGTGATTCAAAAGAAGAATATTCAAGCGAAAAAGGTGCCATCATGATAACATAAAAAGAGCAAGACTAATCGTAAAATCCTATTTTTTTTGTTTGATGAAGTTTTCAAACATTTCTTCAACTTTTTCAATTCCAACCCAACCACATAACGGAGTATCGCCAAGAACATATTGAGTGTGTTTATTAAAGAATAATAATCCATCTGGTCGATATCCAAAAGAATGAGGATTCTTTATCAAGAATGATATCTTTTCTTGATCACAATAATGAGCTTTGAGTGGATTAAACGTATAAGTAGAAGTGTTTATAGTTGGACGTTCAACTTCCGCAAATTTTGTATTGAGCCAATAAAATCTATAAAAATTTAATAAAATTTTAAAAAAATTTATAAAAGTATAAATTTAAGAAAACATAATTGCACCTACCTAAATTCAGTATCACAATCGTAAATGGGATGTCCTTTCCAGCACATGAGATCCAACACATAATAGGTAAATTCTGTTTGATCATAGATACAGTCCAAGATGCAATAATCGGTTGTTTTGTTTCCCTTGTAAGAATTTGCACCTGCGGGCAAAATCGATTCGAATACATTCACGATGTTTCCTATGAAGAATTTAAAATTCAAGTAAGTGATTTGATTAATTAATTTATCAAAAATCATAAAGATCAATCATATCTTACCATTGCGCAATCGGCTTACCGTTTTACCTTGATTGTTGTAATATAAATTACTTTAGTGATGAAATAGATGTATATAAAATCATCAGAATCTCCTTAAATAATTACCTTTTGCTGATATTACGAGGCAACGCTTGCCTTTAGGGCACAACACAACATACCAATTATTCTCTAAATCAGATGGTATTTCATGCATCCATTCGGCATGCATTACTTGATTTCTGTATGGATTAGATCCTTTAGTTTTACGACGAGATTCCCTAAATTTTCCTTTGAGTTTGGCTTTTTTAACTGTAAATGATTCTTGTTGCAAATCATCATCTTGATCTAAATCCAGGCTGCGTTTGGTATGTTTAGTTAGTTGTTCAATGGGGATGTCATTATTGATTGATTCATCATCAGTCTTTGAATCTTCTTCTGATGAAAATTCTGCTGGTCTGAATAGTGCTAGGTTTCTCGCATGAGTATTAAGGTCCCGTCTCCTCTATAAAAGAAGTTTGAGCATATCAGTCAAAAACTTGTAAATTAAAAGGTGAAAACTGTCTTCACCTTTTTTTGTTCCTCCAAAGCTCGCTTCCTCCGTTCTTCTTGTGTTTCTTCTTTACCTTTTAATTGTAAAGGAGAGGTCTTAAAGGTTTTATGGCGAAATACCCCTGTTGAAGCAGAGACTGAAGTTGCTGAAAGTAACTCAGTAACCTCGTCAACCGTTGCTGCAGGTTTTTTAATAATATTTTCATCCAACTTGATTTCAGCTACTGATTTTTGACTAGTTATGATGTCTCCATTATTTAATTCTTCACAATTCTCGGAAGCTTTAGTCATTATTTAAAAATGTTCGAAACTAATCAACATAAAAATTTTCAATCCGTTTGTATTTTTATCAGCCTTTTCGTACGACCCTATCATTTTCTATATTTGGTATTAGTATCATCATTCATGTTTATGTTTTAAAAAAATAAATTTCCGCAATATTTTTTTTTCCGTAAAAAATTATTACTTTTAAATATAAAAAAGTAAAATTCAATAGGTATTGCTTATTAAAAACCTATTTTAAACGTGTAATTTAAAAATATAAAAACGTTTCCAAAAACCTTTATTATTTTTATTCCGAGAATCCAATATAAATAAATTTTTTTTTAAGTAACTAGGCCTCTCATAAACCACGTGACTTCATATAATTTAACATCTCTTACGTTTTTCATTACTTACTAAAGTGAAATAATTAAGATTAGTAACATTTGTAACTTTGATCATCTTTTTTTTTTTTTTTTTAAAAAAAAGAATTAATTAGAGATGTTTAAATTTTGAAACAATATCCCATCAAACAAGCTTGTTTGATGGCCCTTGATGATAATGTGGACTTTAATCTTGGATTTGAATCTACGAGATGATGTAAAATTTCACGTGTTTTTTATATTGAAAATAATTAACCATTAAACGCGGTTAAAAATAAATCACTTATAGAAAGACTAATCAAAGAAATTAAAAGTTTATCGCGCCAATAGAAACTTTATTTACATCATAAGAATCATGAAAACATTAATTAATATACATATATATTTCATCTACTACAAAAATTGCTATTACCGTAATTATACGAGGACAATTGTACAACTCATATGACAAGACCAAAGATCAGAAAGTAATAAATAAAATCAACTTACGACGGTAGTGGCTTGTTGAATCGAGAAGCCAGAACGATTATTGATCCATAAGAGTAGTGCGGCAGAGAATTGATAGAATCTA